ATTTTTGACAATCGGCCCGCCACAATGCGTTCAAATCACAGAAATTCCTCAAATATACATGCGAAATGATCCTTCGCATGCTACATCTGAAGGCGGCGGCAAGCCCAATCGCTGGCGGCTGCGCTGATTGGCTGCAGTAAGTTTAATGTGCAGACAGGCTGCGAAACTACTTTTGTTGACATTGCGGGTGAGTCATGTTAGACGGACCCCCTGTCTCGCTGTACGCTCGTCGATCTGTATTGCCTAGCGGGATGCGGGTTCATCTATAACTGGGCGAAGTGGCGGTTGATTTCATTATGGCGTGCATAGACATGCTTGCTGCAGCCAATCAGCGCAGCCGCCAGCGATTGGGCTTGCCGCCGCCTTCAGATGTAGCATGCGAAGGATCATTTCGCATGTATATTTGAGGAATTTCTGTGATTTGAGCGCATTGTGGCGGGCCGATTGTCAAAATTGGCGGGTGTAGATTGTTAAGCAGTCTTCCGCGATTCCAACGATAGTTGGAAAGTGGCCTCACCTGCAGGAACACCGGAGTTGTAACTGATTTAAAATGGTGAGTTGTGGAAACTGCGGCGGCGAGTTAGGCACCATGATGTTATATATAGACAATGGCCGTGTGTGTGCTGTAGCTGCAGCGGACTGGTTCTTGCTGCCAGTGGGTTAACTTACAGTTACTACCTGAACCGTAAACGTACCCTGGGCCTGGGTACGGTCCGGTATACCGGAACGTATCTGATATGGTTAGGGTTATGGTTAGGGTTATGGTTAGGGAGTGGGCATAGGCGACTCCCTAGCTCTAGTAACTATAGCCTGCGTACAGTTGCCGCAGTTGTCACGGCAACTGCACGCGGGCTATAGTTACTAGAGCTAGCGACTCCCTAGACTCGTTAGTGAAGTAGGCGAGGTACGGTCTGGCATATTAGATAGTACCAGGGTACGTTCCGGCAGTACCCTGGGGGACATAGACCCTCTCAGCCTTAGTAAAGATCTATTCAAATTCACTGAGACTGAGAGTGAGAGCCCCACTAACAACAGTCTTGAAACAATATCAATCAACAACATTCTAATAAGTTCATACTTGTGAAGTTGTGTATTGTTATATGGTTAGTTGGTTATGATCGTCCCAACCTCATCCACAAGTTCTATAGACTATAATTAATTCGTGCAGTAATGCTCAGTAAAACCATGGGAGCTGCTCGGTTCTATGAAAAAAAAGTAGGCATGCATTCTATTTTACAATACATGATGTACTTTGACAGCCTTTGCCTACAAGTACAAGTACAAACGTTCTACAGTAATCTAGGAACAGCACTAGTGCTGTTGCTGCTCAGTTATTCTTTCAATGACTCAGTGACTAATTTTTAGAGTGCTTACTTTCAGGGAATAACTCTGCAGCTTATGGCTTACCGACAGCAAGCGTGGACACATTCCACTGCTCAAAGTGCGACATCACCTTCACTAACCTTGAAGACTACTTTCACCACAAGATCACCGTCGATGAATGTGAGTTATTACTCGACAGATGTGCTTTTCTCATACATATATATGCACCTTCACCAGCAAATCTAATGTTGAACCTGTAATCAAGGTCGGGAGCACATAAGAGTAATACACGCAGGAGTACTAATTGTGGGTAATTTATTCATTAACTATAAATAGTTTTTTTAATTATTAAATTGTTGAGATGTAAGTATTTTAATTGCTGCAGGCAAACTTCTGCTCACGCCCTCCGGTAAACTACAAGATGTGGTCATCCCATTGCTGCTGGCGCCCCCTAGTGCAGATACTCCATACGGATTCATTACTGAGGAACAGGAAGGGCTGAGAAATGATGCCGATGCTAGCCAAGCTGCTGGTAGTAAACTTTGTTCAGGTATGCAACGTACTCCTGTTTTAGTTAGAAGTGATCCATATTGTAAACAATACGTGCAGCAAGAAGATTTCTAATCCTCTCAGGATATTCTGTTCATATGACTTGAAGGTTTCAGTCTTTGTTTATAGCTGGCAATGGTACTAATAACTGCATTAAGTTTGTGCAGCATAGTACGTTTAATATATTTAAAAGTCTTCCTCACCAGCAGAAGCAAGCAACAATGCTCAAGGAACGGAGCCTAGTGCAAGTAATAAGTGGCTGTACTTCGAATGCATTCGATGTACGACAAAGTTTCATGATTCAGCTGAGCTCCAGGAACATCTTAAAGTTTGTCAGGTGGATAAACCCACTTCTAGGTATAGTTAAAACTTACTGTTAACATTTGAACAAACATTTAAGGTTACGCTGACTTTTACGCTTACACATGAAAATAGCTTCTATGCAGTATTATTATCATTTGTGAAAATTTGCTTATTGAATCGTTATGCTTTGAGAAATATTCTAAAATATCTAAAATTTCCAAATGCTTTACTATCATTGTTATTTAAAATGTAATTGTTATGCCTAGTCAGTAGGCCTTATGCTCCACTGAGAGTGAAGAGGATAAGTAAGTAAGTAATGCCTAGTGAAATATTTTAAAACATTTTAAACTCGTTTACATTACCAGCAACCAGCCGACGGATGGAGAGCAACTGAATGATTCCTGTAAAGAAGCAGAAGGGCTAATCGATCCATGCATTCCTGACGAACGCAGCTATGCTTGCCAGACGTGCGGACAGACATTTGGAAAAGTAGGTTTATTGGGTATTGTAGGTTATACCTCATTTAAATGCTACCTTTTATCTCCATCACTATTGTATCGCTGTTGTATACTACATGCATTTTCTTTCTTTTTTTAATTTCAAGCTACAAACGCTGAAGGCTCACAGCAAAGTGCACCTAGATGTCTATGAGTATCCATGCATCCATCCTGGCTGTCCATTCCAGTTCAAGCTCAAGGGCTCACTGAAAAGACATATGAGAAGACACACAGGTTTGAAAATAGCAGCTAGCATAGCTGTTCAGACAGAGCATGTCATATCTCAGCAACCAGTATAGGCAATATCTTGGTTTCATGTGCTGTTGCATGCAACCTGTATCTGTTGTCTGTATACAATATTGTATTGAAATATATATATATATATATATATATAAATAATAAATGTTGTAATGGCAAAACAACTGGAATTAATCTCTTAATGTTGCGTCATCTCAGGTGAACGGCCGTTTGTGTGCAAGCTGTGTGGGCGCAGTTTTAGTGAGAGCGGTGCGCTCACGCGGCACATGAAGTCTCAGGTCGTGTGCACGGTGAAAGCAGACGGAGAGCTACCGCGCTATGGCAAGCGCCTGCCCATCAGGAGCGAATATGACACGTCTGATGGACCCGACCACATGTTAGTCGTGCCCAAGGTAGGTTAGCTTGTGAAAACAGTCGTGCGACCAACGAGTGGTCGTAGGGTACTCTGGGAAAGTGGGTACACAGTGAAATGGAAACTCGATGCAGGAAAGCACGTAGGTAGCAGTAGCGCCAAAGGAAGTCCTCGACGCACGTAGGTATTCGAGAAAAAACCTAAAAAATGTCCAGAAAGCGAAGAGAGCGGTCGAAAATCACTAACGCGTCTCGTCTCTTCTCGCTCGGCAGAGAGACGTGAAGCGGAACATCAAGATGGAGGTGCTGGCGACGGAGAACGTGAGCGGCGACGCGGAAGAAGAGCGACACTACCGGGATCTTGAAGCGACTGAAGCTGACGGCGACTCGGTGGTCAGTGCGGTGTGGCCGTCGGCACCGGACCACAGCGTCTCCGCCGGAGTCCAGTCTAACTCCCAGAATGAACAGAATCCTGCGTCGGCGCCGGTTCTGCACTCTACGGAGGATGGAGTCGTGGAAGTGGAATGTCCAGATGAGATTGATTATGAAGACGCTGCTGTTGAGTCTGGTCCCGGAGTGATACTGATGGAAACTGTCGAACAAACTGAAGAAGAACACAATCTATTAAAGGTTTGTGATCCCTGCTACTTAAAATTAGCCCAAGTACATCGAGCACTTATAAATTGTTGTAGAGCGTAGAACAGTGTAAACACCAAATGTGTTTACCCACGTAGCGTACATGATTGAGTAACTCTTAATTGAAAATCTCTTACAAAGTTACAAATTAATTAAATGCTCTTTACAGATATGTATGCATGTATGTTTATTGATATCCAATAGTGCTGGGCTTGCAATGAAATACAGACAGATGAAGTGCAACTAAAGAGTCATCTAAAGTTGCACATAGGGAACAGAACGTGTCATTGCGGTCAGTGCCATTTTATCACCACTACTCAAGACTTGTTAGCTGCACACATGATTGCAAGACATGGCAGAACACTCATCAATGCTAAGGTTACCACCAAACTGGAGAAATCACTGCAAGGTGTGTGTTGCACCCATGCTGGATAAATTATGCTATTGCAGTTCTTGCCACCAGCACATTGCAGTAGTGCCTTGTGTTTTTACACACGTCTATGTTAGGGTTACATTAATAAACATAGCCTAGAGAGGAAATATAATGCACAACCAATAAAGTAATAAGCATGTATGCCTGCTTTATTCCCAATACTGGATAATTTATACAATTCCAATGACAGTTGGGGAACCCAAAGTGACTCTCTAATTTGGCATGTTGATTTCAAGAAATCAGACTATCACGACGTGTGAGTACTGGTGACCAGTATGATGTGTACTGATATGATAAATATTTCTCCTCCAGCCGGTGCAATAGGATCAAGATTAGAGCATATAGAAGAACGCCAGGAGGACCTGGTAGCAGAAAAGGCCGCGGAACAGCTGCGGCAGCTTGATCATGATTCTCCGTCGCTTTTAGAGAAGCAAGACAACAGTCTTGCCTCAAACAGTGGCTTCAAGGCAACACACAAGTGTGGGATCTGTGGAAGGGTGTTTCGGGGGCGAAGCTACCTGCGTATGCATCTCAAGAGACATTCAGGTAAGCAGTGCTGTGACAGCGCTGCGACGCCAACTATACGGTAAAACGAACGACTTCTATCGAAAACTCTAAAAAACCAGCGTCCATTTTTCTCCCTTCACGTTTTACTTACTTTACTTATCTTCTTGGTCCCATGGTGGGACATAAGACCGTAGATTTATTACGTCACGTATTATTAATTTGATTTTAATTAAATTTTTACTATTATTATTTGTTATTCGCACTTTTCGTTCGTTTCGTCGTTGCAGGAGAGAAGCCGCATCTCTGCGGCGTCTGTGGCAAGCGCTTCGTCGCGCGCGACAGCCTCAAGAAGCATCTCGTCATGCATTCGGACGCGCGGCACTACAAGTGCGGCGAGTGCGGCAAGCTGTACAAGCGCATCAACCACGTGCGCGAGCACCTGCGCGTGCACACCGAGTGCAGGCCGTACGACTGCACCCACTGCGGCAAGAAGTTCAAGTGCAACGTGAGTTATTTTGCTGTCGGTTGCCGGCGTCGGGTGACCGCCACACTTGGGGAGGGGGCAGATTGCATTTCAGTTCATCGAGTCTGATGGAAGTGGCACGAACTGCTTACTCTCTGTCGAACACAGATCGATGGATGGATGATAATTCATTAAATGAAAAGTTACACGTGTACATTTAATGTGCACACGTCCCTGACTAATCTAATGTCGTTTATCCATCGATGTCGCAGTTCAGATCATATGAAAAAACAGTGAATGTTTACCGTATAAATCCTGAACATCATTCAGTGCAAATGAAAGGCAGAGAAATACACAATAACAAACATGAGCAAGTTTGCGATGAATGGCATGCTGTATATTACATACACCTCTTGCCACTGCTGCGTTTCTTACAGTCAGCGTTGAAGGTCCACCTGCGCACACACGTGGACGTGTTTCCGTACGTGTGTCCGCACTGTGGCAGACGCTTCCGCGAGAAGGCTTCGCTGGAGCGGCACACGCGCAGTCACACTGGTCAGCCGCTTTTTTCACATATATTTCATTCAGATAAATTGGCATCGCACGAGCATAGATTCCTACTAGCAAACATTATCTCTCGTTTCTCTGCAGCATCTCTATGTAGATGTAAATGATCTTAAGTGTTTAAAAAATAATGGTGTTTGGATCTCTCTTCATATGTAGCAGTATGAGATTCCATGAGTAATTAAGTATTTAATAAGTACGGTGGGTGTCTTTCCAGGTGAGAAGCCATTTCCGTGCAAATATTGTGGACGTTGTTTTACTGAACATGGAAGCCTCAACAGACATTTACGTGCCAAAGGTACTAAAACACTGTTACCGTATAACAACATGCAAACTGGGCATACAAGCATTATAGTAAAACGCTGTTACGGTACTGTAGTCAGAGGTCCCAAGTTGGGAAAGTCCAAGAAAGGGAGCCAGCATTGGCCCAACAATCCAAGAAAGGGAGCCAGGTCCATCGCCATTTTTTCGCAGTGCGCAAAAACAGGAAAAAAGTTGTGGCGGGCTGCGATGTGTTTGTCGCGGCACACCACCATTTTTTTTATAAAGTATACATGTAAAATCATCGTTTCATCGCCTTTTATTGTTTGCTGGAATCAAAGTACATCAACAAGAACGGCAAATTTAGTAATTTACTGATTTACTGATGTAAATTTTCATATGGCTGAAAAATGTTACAAACCGGGAGCTTCTGACCTCATTCCGGGGCACCGGGAGCAGCGTGTCATACCGGGAGTCTCCCGGTGAGACCGGGAGACTTGGGACGTCTGCTGTAGTACATAAAACGCTATCTATATCTGCAGGATAGTTGCCGAATAATCTATGCTAACTCTGCGATGGACCATTAAGTTAAAGTTAAATCTTTCCCGCGCCTATATGGTGCATAGGGCGGTGCCTATCTCCGTTTCAGTAACCCTGAGGCCCCGCATCTGCGTTCACAGTAAATGCTACAGTATGGGGGTTAGTCCACTGGTAGCACTGCGATGGACCGTGACCTTGTGTTTTTAGTGCCATGCTACAGTGCAGAGCAGTTGCAAACTGAAGGTGTGGATCTGATCGCCTGTGACCAGCAGAACATGGATGCTGAAGCCATGGCAACTGTGCTGGCCGAGTTCTCATCGATGGTCGCTGACACACAACACTACATCATACAGGTATGACCACCTCCTGAAGTTAGACTCCAGACATGAGACTCCCAAGGTCCACGAGGAATAGCATCCTTGGGGGGGGGGCTTAACCGTAAATACAACTGCTGCTGACGCAAAGATCTCCATCAGAGTGGCGAACTCGGTGTTGCATATGTATACCTGTATATAATGCCTGTGATTGGTAAGTGATGATTGGTAAATGATTATAAAATTACGTTAGTGTGTGAAATAATAATATTGGTCAATTCTGCGTACTTTCCAGACTGCCAATGGGAGCGAAGTAGCAACTGCATCAACATCCGAAGGCAGCCAGATGCAAGATGATCAAATATTCATCATAACTGACCCTGAAACAGCCACTACTGGCGATGCCACTGCTACTGGTCATGAAGTGATTATTGATCCGTCAGAGAGCAGCAGTGACGTTGTTATGAATGCTGAACTATGTTCTCCGATGCAAACAAATATTGCTCAACATGTTTTAAAGCAAACAGAAGTTGCAGAGTTCATTACCAGTAGTATTGGTAATACAATCACTACTGCTAGCACTTAGCATCTTGAACATTGATAATAGGCTTTGACAAATTCTATAGAATCTATTTATATTTTGCCTTGACAATGATTTTTGATATCTTGCTATAAGTGTGACAGATACTGGAGACTGGCTTCCATGATGTGACATCTGTTTTGCTGCTCTTGCATATGCATGCAAGCTATGTCTCCACAATTTCGTATGGTTGCAGCTCCTGCCATTTACATGCTTGATGTTAGTTTTTCATTATCCTCAGTGCCCAGTAATTTAACTCGTCCAAGACTTTCCGTGTACAGAAGTGGTATGAGAATATTAATGTACAGAAAATTATTGTTGAATAGTTCCAATATTACAATGCTGGTAAACAACAAAATGTATGTTTTCTTTTTTCTTTTTATTGTCATATAAATGTAAAAAAATAAGTACACTCAATCTATTACTTCACTGTATCCGTTATGTAAACGATGAATGGCCTGTTAGGTTTGAGCTCATATCTTGCTATCCTTATAACTGATACATGCATAAGACTTCTCTTGGGTTGAAAAGAATGCATATATTGAAGTATTACAGCAATTACATCACAAATTCCGGTGTCAGCGCTTGGTAGGCATGTGTCCGTCTCGTGCGGTGAAAAACCTATACATCTCCTTGGAGAGTTCAGGCCCTACTCTACGTGAAGTTGCTATTACCCCTGCTCCACGTCGAATCTAAAAAAGAACATTACGTTATACTACAACCTGATAGTTTACACACCGGTGGTATCGGTTCTTATTTTTTTAGCATCATTTTAATGCCCTAGTACAGTACTTACAATGATGTCTTTTAGCAATTCCTGGGCCTCGTTTTCTGAGCTGCAACACTTGTAAGCCTAAAAAATCACGGGGCTACAGTTCACTTGTATCAATAAACAAATGCAGGATCATATTATACCTTTATGCAAGGAAATTTTCAAAACTAATATAGCTATCACATGATATTTCCTGGTCTATCTTTTACCCTAGTCCATATTATTTCGATTCATAAAAATACTAAATAAGTGGATACAGAGGTAAGTACCACGATAACTGGACAGACAATCTTTACCAATGCAACCTCACCTTCAGTAGCTGCTGTGGGGAAGGATACACAGTGTGGACAGCTGCTGCAACCTGGTGGCTGACTTTGCGAAACTGCTGGAATTGTTGTAGCCACACTCTCTGCAATCCCTTGCCATCCTTTGTGACCTTGACACCTCCCTGTGATTCACTCCGTGCATCGAAAGCAAACCCTGTATGGCTCTTCTCTCTTCTGCGCAATAAAGACTGATTTTACATCAAGTGTTGAAATTATTAAATCACAAGCAAGCACAAGCAGATATTACGATGCATTCTGCACAAGTTACATAAATGAAGATTGATGTTAAAACTCACGGTAGCATTAGACTTAGCTAACGAACATAAATATGTAGAAAACTGTTGCAATGCATTATCTTCTTGGTAATGACACTACTATACCATTTAAAAACGAATTTTTCTATTCATACAGGAAATAACTTCATAATCTATCACATAGTGAGGTTGATTGCATACAAGATATTTTTCACGGTCGCTTACTTGAATGGAGCTTCTGCAATAGCTTTAGTGAACGTTGCAATCAGGTTGGCAACCTCTAATGGCGTTTCAACCATGCGGAAATTACAGTTGTTTTGTATCTGAGCTGCCACCAATGCCTACCATCAGAGAAAAGCCCAAATAAATACATACTTTACATCATAATCATTGTATTAGTGACAAAAAGCAAATATTTTCTAACAAGGAATACATTGTCAAACTTACATCATAACATTATTGCACCCACTAATGATTTCAAAAATTAATAAGTAATTGAAAGCAAAAAAATTCCTATATCAATAACTGGACATCTTTGTTAAGGCAACTCACCCCCTCTACACCAGTCTCGGTAACTGATGGCAACATATTACCACCTTTTTTCCTCTTCTTCTGGTCAATATCATGGCCTGCTGACTTCAATACTGCCAACTTGTGTCCTCTCTGTTGCTTCGTCTTCTGCTCCCTGGGATAAGTTTCATAAGTTAATTGTAAAATTACAGTGGCTAATATTTAGTGGCAACACCAGGTCGAGTCTTTTTAATCATTGTGCAAGCTTTCAGAGACAGGTATTCACTTCCTCTGGTAAACTATGTTATATAGGCCATCTATTATAGGCATATTACCGGAAATATTTCTTTAGGCCAACCACAAAGAACGTAACCGTCATCTCATGCAGCACATCAGATATTTTAGTCATATGGTCTCCCAAGCTCAGGCCTTCTCCTGCTGTTCCAGAGTTAACCTGAACACACACATAAATTACAGATAGTTAATAAGCATTCGATGCTATTAATGTTTCCAGACTGAGAAACGGTACATTGGCATCTATAGGACAGGGAAGGTAGGATGAATCTTTAGATGTAGAGCTAGGTCTAGGTATAATCTAGAGATCGTAGTTAAGAAGGTCCAATAGAGGCAGTATTGTTTTATATATATCAGAAGTAGATAATAGGGAAGGAGTGTGACTTCAATAAACAAAGGAAATTCGTCATTTACTAGCCTTAGAATACCTACGATTTACTACGCGTAACTCAACCAACCTAAGCTCAAATCATACACAGTACATTCGCCTAGCATCGTGCGAAATAGTTTCATCGTATACACCCGCAATCCAGAGATAGACTAAAACGTACGACACGATTCTCCATTCTGTTGCCAGCAAAACGAATCCATAACCCGCCTAACTTGAAACAATAGGCAGCTACTAACGACTCTTGCGCACTCTTGTGCCCACGGCAATCGGTGATGTGTACACGTATTAAAAACGCAATCATCGCAACACCTTTTCTAGTGCCATTAGAAAGAACATGCCCGTAAATGCACCGTAAAATCTAACAAACAGCTAATAAAACTCACCGCCGTTGTCTCAACGACCAAATCCAGAAATTTTGTCAGACGAATTTCTACCAACGCCTCTCGCTGCCTGTCTTCAGAACCATGCTTATTGAGCTGTACCCAAATAAATGAATAAAATCACAATGTAGAAAAGCAATAAGAACTGCATAAACGATACTACACTCCAACACCATAACAAAAAGATATTTTTTGTAATTCACAGCATGCTGAACTGACTCTACAGCTTTTTAAATCATGTACCCCCCACACATGTGCACTTGTCACTTGGCATATATTACACGAATCACGTACTATTATGTACACGCATACCTGCAAATCGTCCCCAACTTGATGTTCCCACACGTCACGCACCCAGGTGACGCAGAGTGGAACCGTCTGTGACTCAATCCTGTATCTGATCTCACAATCGCGAAGACCTTGCAAGATGAAGCCGCCTGCATCACCTTCCAACATGGACGCATCCAGTATCGCTGTCACGTGCTGAAAATTGCAAATTGCATCACAGACCGACATTACTTCCCTCACAGAATTACCGTCACTAACAACGATACCTACGTTCAAACCGTAGTATGTACATGTGCTATTGCGTGTGCAGTTACATGTGAAGTGCTGCGCAACTGCAGTACAATACAGAACACAACACGTTATTTCATCCTGGTTATTGACGATTTACAACCACGTAGTGAAATTATTATCACCTTGAGACATTCTCCAGGTGCCATGGCTTTCTTGGAGTTGCATTCTGCCACTTTCTTATGATGTTGCAATGCCTTCTCCCTCTCCTTAGCCTCCTTCCTAGACTGTACCTCGGCCTCTCTCTGCTGCTTCTTAATCTATGAAAAAAATTGGGAGCCAGCAATTAAATCGTACGTGCTGCGTGACAAACAAACACGACGCAACCTGCACTAGTCACAAACTACTGTTACCATGTGAATATGCAAATATCTCTATCTACGTACACCTTCGATCTGCATCTGCACACCTTGACGAAGAGCTACATGTACAGGTAGAGCTACCATGCAAAAAATTGGTATGAAGCAAATCACGACCAAAGTAAAGCGCAGACTTTTTCTCACGTGCAAACGACAAACCGGCGTCGTAATACCTGCGCAAGCCGCTTCGCCTCCGCAACCTCTTCTGGGCTCCGTCGCTTGCGCTTCGCTGCTCCACCTTGCGTTGCCGTGATAGAACCCTCGCTTCCCTGGGACAAAGGGACGGCGCACGTCTCCTGGCTGTCGCACGACGAAGAACCAGTCACGCTTCGTGAGCCGGGTAAATTTGGTAAATCGGACGCGCCGGTACGTAGCGCGCTCCCCTCGTCACTAATCGCCACGCCCCACGCACCGTCACCGATTACACATGGAGGGTTAGCCGACGGGGTCTTCGACACTAGAGGGCGCCGTAATTGCTCGAAATCTCGTCGCCGCGCGAGCGTCGAGTCGCTCGACGGCAGCTTCCCGTCGCATTTCAGCCGCAGCCGCTGCGCAAGAGTCAGCTGCTCTTCTTCTGATGAGGACGAGTCATCGGCAGCCAGCGCCCCCTGCCGGCATTCGGCAGCATCGCGCGGTAGCGACGGCAGGCTGCCGTTCGAGTCGTCACTGTCGGATATCAAGTGGCTCATGGTTCTCTTATAGGCAAGTGGCGAGCGAGAGGCCGACAACAGATGTCACATCTAGGAGCGTATGTAACGCCATCTCCCCCTAGATCTGCATGGACACGTGAAACGATTTCACGCTTAGAACGAAAGTCGAACCAAACCGTCACAGTGTTTTCGGAAGGAGAAGTGACATGCCACTGCACGAAGCAGAAGCTCCAAGAAATGCAAAGCAGCTCCAAAGGCACGTATTGGGAGACCTGTAGCGAATACACGTATTGTACATAGACGTTTAGTCTTACAGTTATCTCAGGCTGCAGAAGCAAACATGCACACCTTAGTTACTGCTGCCACAGCGAAAAACGTTTTCCAAAAACGACGATACTTGCTCACTCTTACGCACACAAAACCAACACGTCTTAAATATGCAACCGGGGAAGCGATAAAGAAATTCTTATTAGAAGTATATCTAGCGGATGACCTCAGATCCAGTGTATTACATGAGTAATGTTATACAGTTCATAAATTTATTGATTGCCGCATAATAATTTTTACTTTTGTTAAAGCGAACAGCTACAATTAGAGTTGCTGTTATTAAAAACAAGGCATGAGATTAACAAAAACAGGGTAACCCCGATTGTATCCACAACAATCTTCTCATTTTGTTACATACCCAAGTGAGACATAACACTAAACAACGGATCAGCCATGCCTATGTGGTGATAAATAATCTGCAATGTCCATCTCAATGCCACGCAAAAGTTACAAAAATGTTTGAAAAAATAATTTTCGCGAATGTTCATTGGTAAAAAAATAAATTAAATGTCATGAACAGGTCATGAACTACAATGTCGTTCTAATTCCCGATAATTACGAAAGTCAGTGTCACTTCAAAACCTTGTGCATCAGAGTATTTCTAATAGTTGCTGCTAGTTATTTCGGTAGCTGTGTTTAGTTAAAAATTCTAACACTGCAACAGTTATCTGACAAGAAAATATGTACAAAATCGGCATGCTGCACATGTAACCTCGCAAACCGATGCATCTTACATTAATAAAATTTTAAAGGAATGTTATAACATTTTCAATTTGCTACTTACGATTACCGTTATCGTTTATGAAGAATCAGACTGTGGGAATTTTAATTAATTAATACATTTAATGACGAACACAACGATCAGACAAGGAAGCCAACACAGCCTTCACTGTGGATGAAAACTTCTAACTAAACGTGTAAGCATAATTTGTAAGCACTTTTAGACATTTACATAATGCCGACCCTCCGCTCCCTTCCAGATATGCACACAGCCAGCCATACACGTAGCTGTTATACTGTATTGAGTATTAATGTGACATAAGGGTACACGCAGCCGCAGAATTCGGAGTGAAGACTAAGAAAGAGTATATGCCGCTGGATTGCCGCAGAGTACTAAGAACGGACTTAGATACAAAGCTATCAGTCAGTCCACGAAATTCATAAACTTGCTTCAAAAGAGCCACACATTGTGTCCGACACAGCAAACTTAGCTCACCACCACACGCTGGATAATGGTGATACACGTATACGCATCTCTTAAATTAGCCCATTTATTTAGCCCATTACACGCGCTAGAACCCATAGTGCTCCCGTGTCATTTACTGTATAGAGACTCCCCGACTTACGAACAGGTTCGGTTCCGAGCGGTCGTTCGTAACTCCATTATTTTGTTCGTAAGTACGTATACAGTATTGTACAGGAGTGTAGTATATGTACGTGTGAACATCGAGTAACCTAGAAGTGTACATAGTGTAAACATATACGTGAACACAGGAGTTGGCGAGTCAAAATCAGGGGGGCGATTGTGTCTTTTTATTCACCAATATTGACTTCAGGGCAAATTGTTCGTATCATCGAAAGTTCGCAACACGAATGTTCGTATGTAGGAGAGTCTCTGTTTTTCTTATTTCTATACAGATGGGTAAAGCGCGAGTTGGTCGTGCCTCCACTTAGCGACGGACCAGATATTGTGTAACTGGTTCAAGTCTTTCACAGAGCAACCGTATGAAACGCAGCCGAGAACTCAAACCACGAGAGAAAAATGCACAGCACACTACTGATACCATTCACAGAATCAGCTATGCAATCTACGAGTTATCAGTGATTGAAACTCAAATGAGGTGCGACCTCCGTGTAAAAATAAATCTAATTGGATAAACTAATATATGACTACGACTAGAAAAATAGACGTTTTGTTTTGCATCAGGCTCACCAGAGCACACATATAAAACTAAATGTTTGGGAATAAATATGAAGTACAAATCGTACACTGCATGCACTTCTTTGTTGCATATGTGTATACACCTTTTGTCTTCATAAATAATAGTATATAATTATGTATATATGCATAATACAAGAGCGTATTAAGAATGTCTTCTTAATACGCTCTTGATATATATATAATATACATAATTATATATATATATTTCTTAAAGTGGTGTGTATAGGGCTATAGATGACATAAAATTAGTACTGAAAGCCCGTACGTACCATGTGAAGTCGTGGGCGGGCAACGTGTCAGTGACACCCGCACATAACAACATAACCGGGTGTTAAACACAACACAGAGTACTTAATAAACACATGCAGCAGATATATATACACACAGCATGCACTCACCCCACACCTAGGACGCAAATATCCCACTAAATCCAACAAAATATATATATATATGGCCTAATAAAAAATATTTTTCAAGTTACAAAAGCTTTCGCCTAGAATTAATGGCTTCTTAGAAGTTACACACGTGTGTGGCCTGCTTATACATAACTGGTGGCCCTATTTATAGTCAGCTATTACATTGAACGAAAAATGCCTTCTTTGCTAAATGAGTCGTGCATGCTCAAAGCATTATATTTAATTAAGTACGCTAACAGAAAATAAATAAATTGTACACGTGAAGTAGTGATACCACCCACTCACAACACGAGAGACAACACGAAATGTACAACACCCCGACGAGATCATACATACGTAAGCATGCTAGTCGTTTTGCTACAAACGCGCCGATTCTCACAAATGTCAGACCACGTTATCACGCACGTACAGACGCACTCACCACATTCAGGGCAGCTGAATCAAGCTACATCAACTTTATCTCACATAACTTAAAAAAATATATAGGGTAAGCCAGCCCAACCATAGGATACGCATTTAAACTCGATAAGCTATCATAATTTGTGATCAGAATAAAATTTAAAATGGACTTAACAGTTTAGCTATGCACACAGTTTATCACTGTCATCATTTCTTATCATTAAAAGCCTAATTTCGTGCTCATGCACTATCACAACCTATTCCTACCCAGAGCATAATTTCACGTCCAAACCAGCTTACACGCTTGTTTTAAACTACCTCTCAGGTCGTACACAAGAAATCTCATGCACTAGTGCCAGCCAGCACAAACACTTACATACGTAGGTTCATGAATCAATTGAATTGATCAATGATTAATCAATTCATGAATCATACGATTGATGAATCATGATTACAGATCGCTCCAAAGGAAAAATGATATTTGCTAACAATAGCATTAATTATGTGTAAAAAGCCAAGACGTCGTTATTTTACCTTTCCAACATTACGATTCCATGCTATTTACCAAATTGGAATTCCTAAAAGTTATACAACACTAAAGCTTCTAAAATGCCATGTGTCTACAGCCACTTTTTGTTTGTACGAACAAATTTTTCTTGAATAAAAGTTATATTGAGACATTTTTGCTAACATTGGACAATTACCTTCAATGAATGAATTCCAATGAATAAATTCATCGATCAGTAACTAAAAGTTTCACTACAAAAAAACCACATGAAAAATATAAAATCTATTAATTTTGTATAATCATTTGGTTGCCAATCAATTTGACCAACAAGGCAGTCTTTGTGTTTAACCCTACCAATTAACATTAGTCTTGAAATGATAAGGTTTTGCCTTACCTTTCCCTATAGAGAGGACAGTTACAAACTACATCCTGCATGTTAACTTTATGCTTACAAGTAATCTCTGCACACATTAGACAGTTGCCGATATGCAACATATAAGTATGCCACTGTAAGTACAATTCGTAGCATTTGGAGCATTTTCTGACATAATCGTCATATTTCATAATTTACCAATTTATATTCTCATAATTTTAAGTAATCATTTCCTCAGCATTACACTGTTTTAACTCTAGTGTGCCCCACTAACAAATAGAAAACCATAGCCGATGAGTGGTAACACCTCAATCATAATGAAAAGAAAGGCACCGGGCATGAAATTAACGACTTACAGACAGCTGCTGTAGCAATACAGCATGTAAAAGCCTAACCTATTAAAATCACCCCCCTATTGGTTGACACCATGGTATGTTAGGTTGAAAGTTTTCAACAGTTTCAAAACAACATGGAGCAACCTTAAATTATGACAGTATAAAATAACGTAGGAAATATTTACAGATTGTACATTTTTACAGTATGTCTCTCCCGAAGTGCATGATTTTTTTTAAATAATATTCTAATATTTCCCAGTGAAGTCATAAGGCTTTGCTGTAACTGACAAGAACCCCAGTTCTACATTACAAGAAAACAAAAACGAAATGTCAAAGGGTAAACATCTCAAACCCCGAATGAAATTGAATGATATTTAAGGTAGTAGATGTAGAAAGCAGTCACGAAGTTCTGCATTTCTGTAAACAACGGATATTGCACGTCTACAATGCACAAAGCAGTGCACGCAGCATCACAGACCGGTGATGTATGCATAGAAATGTGTGCGATGGCAAGTTACATTGCTCACATACACCTCAATTAACACTAACAGCTAACAGCTAAATTGTCATTGCGAGCGAACTAGAAAGAGATTTTAATTCAGCCGAGTGTCTTGCAATGCACAATTGCCAGGTTTATGGTCCCAAAATCAGCTACCAACCAACGTACTAGAGAATGCACGTACGTACTCAAACAGCTCTATCGAATACAGACAATAAACTGACGCAGCCTCAGCCCCTGCCTTGCAGCAGGCCAGTTCATCGTTTACGCGCAGCTTTTAGTGTGCGAATTTCAGCATGCATCGCCTAACTCAACAGTCACGGTACAAACACATGCGTGCTACTCTGCACATGATACGCGCGGGCCACCCGCTCCGTAACACAAACATAAATCAACAAATTATGTGAGAGGATGAGATCTTTCTAGCAATCTCGTTAAGGAGAGCAGTGCCGAGAGTAAACCGTACGGTTAGTCACTACAGATATTTGCTGCACAAAACGCAAAAGGATTTGCTCACCTCTTACTGTTGTATCTCCGACCACCATAGTACACATATAACACTTTCCTAATAGGAGGTGAATCATATATATATGCTGATGATAACTATAACTAATATATTCACACCAATCGATACGAGGACATAAAGGTAAAGGCATTAACTACTGAAGAGATTACAGTAACAAATTCAAGTAGAAAAAACACCTGTAAGTTTTGTTTACATTCTATTTTGATGCTAAATTTGATATTTAATGATTAAACAATGTCCAGCGTATGATACCAGATACAATCAAAGATAAACAGTCAAGCAGTTTCATAATACACTTCAATCACTAAAGCAATTGTAACACAAACACCTACACGTTTATTTGCATTCTGTGGATAAAATCATCAAGTATCTAGTATGCATACATGTGTCATCACACTAAAAACCTGCTTGGCTTAATCAATTTTCTCCCAATTGCCCTATAGGTTACTCCCCTTTAACATAAGGGCACCTTAGTCCTTCTCGCTCTACTATTTCCCAGTATGCTGCCACAGATACTTGATCAGTTCATTCACACACGTGGCTGGGGGGAAGGGGGATAAAATCGTAAAACAATAGGCATGCGTCACAAATCCCAACGTCATCGACAGCTGGAACAGTCGTCTCTCCCGGCAATAGTTGTTTGACAGTGCAGGAACGTCTGTTCTTCGTCGGGGGCGTTGATAGTGCTACCACGATTCCTCCAAGTGCTCCAACTCTCCTCCTCCTCCTCAGTAGCATGTTTCCTGTTTCCGTGACGCGTGGGATGACGTTGACACGTCGCCGAGCAGTTTCTAACAACGGACACTAGTATGTTCAGTGTCCAAACAGAAAAGTCAAGTCCTTCACGCGACTGAGAACCACTATGTAAGAACAACAATGGAATGCAACTAGTCAATTACACTCTTTGGTTTAAACTACATTTGTAGAGTCATACCTACACAAGATTACATAAATGGCTACAGAGATAATTGTAAAATATATTTTTTTTTACCTTCTACACCCTTCACTATGAGTGATCATGATAACTGAGTCGTATAACAGAACTGAGATGGATAGAAATCAAACACAATTTGTTACATGACTCCTCAAAATCTAAGTTAAAACAGTATTTAAGAAAAAAACATGTGACAAACTCATTTACGAAGCAAGGTTTACGCAGAATTTCTTACACAATTGCTATGTTAAGCTGTACTTAAGTTATGAGGATGGTTAATTTAACAGGAGTCGTGAAGGCTAATCATAAACTCTTATTATAATCAGAAATCCCCATTATACAATTTATACTTCAGGAGCAAAATCTACCTTGAAATTTTTGAAACACGTACAAGCTTAAACTGGTTACACAAACTAATACGTATAGTATAGAATTCTACAATGATCATTACACATAACTCTTACAATGCCTTAGAATAAACCAAATACACACACAACGCATTGTGAAACGTAGCGAATACGCATTATCATATACCGAATTCCAAAATTCCCTTCTCTCCAAAAACAGAATAACTAACGAAAACTCCACGGAGAAGGAAAAATAAGAGCAGGGCCTCTCGACAAAAGTGCGTGCAACTTCCAAACGACGCAGTCACTCAACAGACGGCCAAGCCTCCACGCAAGTTCCTCCATCTACCTGCGCTCGGTTGCAATCTGGACGCACGGGGAGCACACACGCACACGTGCGGACGCGGAGGGTCGAGCGATCAGTGACGCGACGACGACGTGTGACGATACTCGCGTTCGCGTTCACGCTCGCGATCCTTTTCGCGGTCGCGCTCGCGGTGAGGCTCGCGTTCCCGAACCTCGCGCGTTTCACGGTGGCGCCGCTCGTCGTCGTAGCGGTCGCGCGATCGGTCGCGGTACTCGCGCTCGTGGTTGCGCCCCCTATCCTCGCGCTCGCGGCTGCGCGAGCGGTCGCGCCGCGCCACCTTCTCGACGCGCCGCGACGACGACCAGTCGCGGTCGCGCGAACGGTCGCGGGAGCGGTCGCGGCTCTTCACGCCCGAGCCGTACGACTTCTCCTCGATGCCGCGCAGGGTGTCCTGCAGCGAGCCGATAAGGATCTTGCAGCGGTCGTCGTTGGCAACCTTCGACTGCTTGATGAGCGATATCGCCGTGACGAGTGTCTCGATGGCGCTCGCGTAGTCGCCCATGCTGGCGTCGGTGACGGCGCGCGCAATCGCGCTGCTCGACACCGACTTGTTCTTCGACATCAGCTCCTCAAACTCCTGCTCAGACATCGGCGGCTCCTGCCGCTCGGGCGGCCGCGAGTAATCCGGCACGCCCGGAGGCGGGCCTCCCCGAGGCGGGAAGAAAGCGGGATTCACGTGCGGAGCGGGCGGAGGGACGCCCTGCGGGGGCGGCGGGCCGACAGGGGCACCGGGCGGGGGACCATGCTGGCTGTTCGGTGGCAGAGGGAAGGTCTGCGCAACGCTGACCGGCGGACCGTGCTGTTGCATCGGCGGCGGACCGACGCCCGGAGGGCCGAAGTGGCCAGGAGGAGGGGGACCGCCGTGCTGCGGCTGCGGCGGCCCTCTCATCTGAGGCGGCGGCAGCGACGGGCCGCTGTGGATACCGGGAGGCGGCGGCCCCGGCTGGTACGGCGACGAGATCGGCGGCCTGTCCCATTCCGGCCTCGGGCCGCGGATCTCCATGCCCGGAGGACCGCGCATGTGGTGCGGCACGTGCGCGGGGTGGCCCGGCGGTGGTGGTCCCGACCGCGGCGGCCCGTGCATGCCGGGTGGCGGACCCTGCTGCGGCATGTGGCCTGGCCCGGGCGGACCCTGGTGCGACATGTGTCCTGGTGGCGGAGGTCCCTGATGTCCCATGTGCCCGGGCGGCCCCCCTTGATGACCGGGGTGATTGGGGGGCATCGGTCCGCGCGGAGGCGGCCCTCGCGGCGGCCCGCCGTGCGGTGGCCCGCCGTGCGGCGGCCCGCCGTATGGCGGGGGACCGTTGAGGTGACCTGAGGTGACCTTGAGGTCCCCCGGGATGACCTGGGTGACCGGGCGGTCCTTGGTTCGGCGCCCACGCAGTCCGGGCGGCCGCTGGCCCGGCATGAAGTTACCTCGCCCACGTCCGCGCCCATCATCTGCGTTCCTTGCACACACCTACCTGCGGTCGGTGGCGGACCACCAGGCTGCTCGCTCGCCCTTGCGCGACTGCGCCTCGAACTGCGCTAGCGTTGCTCTGTTGCAGTGCGTCACTACAGATGCTGGCCGTGCAATTCCTTTCGTGACAATTTTTTCCATAACAATCCCGACGAACCGTCGGACGCGGGTTCACAACAGCGAACCCCTTCGACTGTCCGTTGGCTCTGTTTTCGTAGAACTTAATTTCAACTATGTCGTGAACACCGATGGAATTTATAGAGTCAGTGAGGTCTTGATCTGTGGTCCACCAGGTAAGGTTACCGCATAATAGTGAGACTCGCTTGCCGAGTAGGTGGTTGTGGCTGGTGAGGGTGTCCTGTGCCTGTTCAGATGCCTTTATCTCCGGAGCATCTGTGAATTCATCTTCATTTTCCTGCTCACCAGATGGCGCAGTTATGACATCATCGTACAAATCGACAGCGCCGCCATTGTAATCTTCTGTACTGAACTCATCTCCCGACATCATCAGCATAAAGATCAATGTCCACATCGGTCATTTTCTCAAAAATGTGCCAAATGTTCTATGACATGAAGTTTTTTGAAAAACTTACAACTCTTATACTCACAATGTTGGTTCAATGTCAAGGCGCCCATAGGCACAGTAGTCATCAATCCCTGAAAAAAAGAGATTAGTGATATAAACAATGGATCGCATAACAAACCTCCTTATATATCTGATACCTTATCACAGCCATAAAATTCATTAACCACTATGCAATCATTTCAACGCCACATCCATAAAAGAGGACAAAAACTGTGTGGTAAACAATGCTTTAACTTTACTATTTTACACTTTAATTACCCATGAGCACAGATTACTACTAAGACCTAAGAGCAAGGAAAGCTGACAGTATTGCCTTTTGTTTCAGTAATCCGGGTTCGTTTAAAGTGGATAAACCTCGGCAGCTAAATGCATATATATATTATACCTAACTGTGATCTCGTCTATGTTGGCAAAAATTCACTACAACTTATTTGTATTGGCTACTTTCACAACATTTCTTCATAAAATCTAAACAAAAGTTACGAAAGTAGCCCCACAGGATGTTTTACAGTGTTACATATCGGTAACAACAGCCGAGCGAACAGTTGTGATGCATTAACGGTTCTTTCTGTGATATTACACATTATACTCAAGGTTTCTTCTGGGGAAAATTTAGACAACGGCGGTATTGCACTTCTTAAAAGATTGTTTTTCAGAAACCCTGCTTCATTTAACTTTAGTAAATTACGTTTGCCATTTACAAACAATCAGACAATCAGAGCGAGTCTTACAATAGCCCTAGCTCCAAGAAACGGTATTGCTAGGGTTACAATACCGTTTCAACCTTGGCTGCAGCTTAAACACGTAGTTTGCCTTATATTCCAATATCGGCCAAAGAACACCACACATGTGATATACCAAATGAATCAGTAAACGTCCACCTTCTTGATAACCATCAGTGCGCTAACGATGCGCTGGGTACTTACGGGTTACCAGCGGACTTTTTTGAGACGAATGCAACAACAATTTATGAATTCGCCCGCCATGTTTGCTATCATTCCGACTGTGAACTAAAATACCCGCAATGGATCGAACAAGCGAAATTAAATGATCCTGCGTCCTCTGTAACCACCAACCATCCGAGAACAATGTCATCTAAGGTTTTCACAAATGGCCTAGACATTTGTGAACATCGTTTCAACTTGCTTTGGTGTGTAATTGCCGTGAGGCCATCGTACTATTTCTGTAGTATTTCTAGCGAGTCTTTTCCGTTTCGGGTTTTCCGTGCCTTGCTAAACATGGCGGGTAAAGCTGATTTGAAAGTTGATATGCTGTGAGAATTAGCAGATTATACCGTGAATTAAGAGATACATTCTAGTTTAAAAGCAGGAAACAACTGTGAGTTAACGTTTATAATTTTTAAAGGCCTCCTTTAGTGATGAAAAATAGTTACATATATCAAATTAACTATGTTTTGTACAAACTAACTAAAAATTTACAGGTTGAATGGTTGTTCGGGTGTATGAGAAAAAAGCATTTTTTGATGAACACAATGTTAAGAATTTGCGGGAACGCAAAAGCGCCACCTACTTTGGCGCATGACGTAGTGTGACGTCAGGCTAGGCACTAGCTCTCGCTTGTTTACCTGTTGCCAAGCGTGTACAATGTACAATGTGAACACCGATTCAGAGTCGTCTCTAGACCTAATATCAGTTTTCGTACGATACGGATGAGCAGTCAATCACGCATTGATAAAGATGCAATGAAGGTAGACATAGACAATGAAGTTGAAACTGTTGAAGAACAGTTGTCATTCAGCTGCGTACACCTGTTTGAACGTGCCCACGATGTACGGCTAGCGCCGACCAGGCTGTGCGCGGATTGTTTATACAACGGAGCGGAAGGATATTCTAATCCTGCGCAATACCGTTTTCTTGGAGCTCTACGGATTACCCCAGTGCATAGTTTAAGGCACACCGTGGGGCAAGGAAACGTGCGATGGCCTTGTTCATCGTTCGTATTGCCAATGTTCAAGGCACGTCGAACCACAAAGAAGAAAGACTGCTGAAATGGTGAGGTTTAGCTCAGTATTTCATTGTAAGTACTAGGTGTACATTAATCAGGAGCGTATACTGACATTCATAACGCTCGGCTGACATAATGAAATGTTTTTGCTTCGGTTCAGCAAGCTAAATAGGACTAGCCAAGTTTTTTCCCAACAGATAAGCAACGTCAGATTCCCATCTAGCAGTACTGTCTAATTTCTAAAGAGAGTAGCCTCAGTACCTAACATGACTACAAGTAAGGCCTGACTAAAAGAAAAGCAAAGCTGACAATAGTCGATCATAGTAAGTTTAGCGTACCGGTAGTGGAAATTATGACAGGACTTAATACGTAAGTAATTTTAATGCACATGAAATAGTAACAATGTTATTTCACGTGTAATGTGCATTTAGTACTTGTATCGTAAGATAACTCAGCAGTGTATACAGTACGAGTATATAATCAAATAATTATGATGTGTGTTTAACCCTGAGGTCAGCTGTAACGTAAACTAAACCGCGGTCCACGAACAAACAGAAAGTAAAAAAAAACGTATTGCGTATACCAACTGTGAGCAGCTTGGCATGAGCTGAGTAAAGCACATATAATATGGTTGGAACGATTTTATTGTCCTGAGTATTAATGTGGTTTAATCCGGTAGTAAAGTTACAATGGATATATGTATATATATATCATATCATTCATGATAGATTAATATGGCAAGTTTGGATGTTTATGCCCATATAAGTTACAGCCGAGGATAGTTTGTGCTCATGGCACTGATGCATGCTTTGTGTGCGGCCGCAAACGCGGGGAGAACCATAGCCTGAACGTCACAGCCGTTTTCCACCTGTGCTGGTCTTGCAGAATAAATGATTTTCAACAATTCTAGACCAACATCAAGACGTGTTTTAAATAATCACAGAGGCAACCAAAAATATACGAAGTGCCTTTCGTTATTTACGTGTTGATACTAGCTTCAGATAATTGTAAAAATTGAACAGTTTAGAGATATCACTAAAGAAGCTTTAAAACAGGCAAGTCAAAGTGGTAATGGAATAGTTTTTATTGAGATATAGCAGAGTCATTCATCTAGAATCTGCAGAGGCGATAGGTTTTTTGTATCGAAGGTGGTCCGCTGGTTTCAAGGATGAGAACAGTGGGTCCCAATAAAACCAATGTAATTTACATCAATATATATATAATATTACATCCAGGGATTCTCCCCACGTTGCGCAATAACGGTGGCTGCAGCCAGCGCCCCGTTTGGAAAACTCCCCCCCGTTTGAATCGTTGCGCCCCGTTTAATTACTCCGCCCCGTTGAAAATTCACAAACAATAATTTGACGAGCGCCGGAATTCGATCGTCAAAGAGTACTATTCACCAGGAAGACGGCGCATGTAATTTTTTACAGTACGACGCATGCACTGTAAACAATACAACAGTCAACCTTCCTCTACAGACTTCTGTACACCGCACTCGCTATATTTTATATAACAAGAACCAAAATAACCGTCTATGTGTGGTGGCGATTTTACGCATTAATTAGTGTTACGCGTAAAACAAACACGCCCCTAGTTCCCTCCCCCCTCCCCGCTTCCCCTCCCCTCCCCCCTGTTTGCATTCATCCTGGGGAGAACCCTGACATCAAATATAAAGGTTAGGGTTATGGTTAGGGTTAGGAATTGAGGGTTGGATTTAGGTTAGAGTTAGGGTTAGAATTAGGGTTCGAGTTAGGTTTAGGCAGCATTGGTTTTAATTGAGCACCAGTTCTCTATCCTTGGGCCGTCAGGCTGTATAGACAATCGTCGCAGTCTGGGTCGGGCCTAACAATAGCCTGGGTTTC